ATAGTGTCCTAGTGCACTCACCCGTGTTTGTGGTCTTGGAGCAGGCAGGTGCTTGGTGTCTGCCTAATCCTACTGGATTTCATCTGGGAAGGTGCTAAGGGGGTTCCCCAGTCCTGCCCCCCATGCCAGCTCCCTGCCTTTGCTTAGAATCTGTGGGGGTGATGGTTTGTTTTGGGGGGTTCAAGGTGGAAGGGGGGGACCATGTGGCAGCCAGTGATGTCCCATAACCGCCCCCCTCTCTCCCCAGGATGGCGGAGCCTCGCTTCAACAACCCCTACTTCTGGCCGCCCCCCCCCACCATGCCCAGCCAGGTAGGACCCCTGCACTGGGATTCTGGGAGGAGGGAGGATCAATGGGTGTGGAGAGCACTGAGGGGGAGGCTGGGAGTTCCAAGGATCCCAGTTCCTCTGCCCTCACCCACCTGTCTGCCTTTTTCCCCCAGCTGGACAACCTGGTCCTGATCAACAAAATCAAGGAGCAGTTGATGGCGGAGAAGATCCGCCCCCCGCACCTGCCTCCCACCTCGGTGGCCTCGCAGCAGCCCCTTCTGGTGCCCCCCTCGCCTGCTGAGAGCAGCCAGTCCATCATGTCCCTGCCAAAGCTGCAGCAGGTGCCAGGGCTGCACCCCCAGGCCGTGCCCCAGCCTGACGTGGCCCTGCACGCCCGGCCGGCCACCAGCACCGTCACAGGTACTGCCACTGGTCCCAGCACTCTGGGGGACAGAGAGGGGTGTGGGTCCCCTCAAAACTAACACTCTGTCACTTTGGCCATTAGGGTTGGGGCTGGCATCCCGTGCACCGGCCGTCAGCACCTCGGAATCCAGCCCAGGAACAGGGACCACCACCCCCTCGACGCCCACCTCCACCAGTCAGAGCCGCCTCATCGCCTCCTCGCCCACCCTAATCTCAGGAATCACCAGCCCCCCCCTCCTCGACTCCATCAAGACAATCCAGGGCCACGGCTTGCTGGGAGCGCCCAAGGCTGAGCGGGGCCGGAAGAAGATCAAGGCGGAAAACCCTTCGGGACCGCCGGTGCTGGTGGTGCCCTACCCCATCCTGGCCTCAGGGGAGACGGCCAAAGAGGGGAAGACATACAGGTAGGCACACCCCCGCCCGCTGTGGGGGCCGGGGGCGATGGCGGGGAGCCCCCCCACCCCAGCCCGGTCCCTGCGGGGTTCTCCCCCACACCCTCCAGGTGTAAGGTCTGCCCCTTGACGTTCTTCACCAAGTCGGAGATGCAGATCCACTCCAAGTCGCACACAGAGGCCAAGCCCCACAAGTGCCCCCACTGCTCCAAGTCCTTCGCCAATGCCTCCTACCTGGCCCAGCACCTGCGCATCCACCTGGGCGTCAAACCCTACCACTGCTCCTACTGTGAGAAGTCCTTCCGCCAGCTCTCCCACCTCCAGCAGCACACCCGGTGAGGGCCCTGCCGCGGGGCTGGGGACACTTGTTCCTGCTGGCCAGGGAGGGGCACCCCACACCCACCAATCTTGCCTGACATCCTTTGTGGCCTTGCTCTGCTTGTTGGTCCTACTGCCATCATCTCCTTCTTCATCCCCCATCATCTCCAGCACCTTCATTGTCTCTGCCACACTCATCACTCCCACTGTGCTCATCAATTCCCCCCCACACTGGCTGTCCCCATTGCCTTTATCATCCCCACCACACTCATCATTTTCAGCACTTCCATGGGCTCCTCCTTGCTTATCATCTCCACTACCTTCATCATCCCCACCATGCCAGTATGACTCCATAGCCTTCATTATCCCCACTGTGCTCAACATCTCCATCACCTTCATAGTCTCTGGTACCTCCGTTGTCTCCACTGCCTTCTTTCCAGCCACGTTCACCATCGCCACCATGTTCATCATCTTCATTACCTTTATTGCCCCAACCATGCTCAGCCATCTCCACTGTGCTTTTTCCCACCACTTTGTTCATCCCCACCATGCCCACCACCTTCAGTTGAACCCACCATGTCATCTGTGCATGCATGCCAGTCCATCTCCTCCACGCTCATCAGTTTCCAGCACTTCCATCCTCTCCCCATCCCCGTCTCTCAGCCCCATGTCTCGCCCCCTTCTCCCCTGTCACCTCCTGGGGCAGAGATGTCGCTGTGCCCACTGTAACCCCCCACTTCAGTGTGACCCCGTGGATGGGATTGGCGCTGTCCCTGGTGGTGGAAGGGGAGGTGACAATGACAATGTGTGTGTCCCCAGAATCCACACCGGCGACAGACCCTACAAGTGCCCGCACCCCGGCTGCGAGAAGGCCTTCACCCAGCTCTCCAACCTCCAGGTCAGTGTGGGGGGACCCGGGGCAGGGGGCACGGGGTCACCATGGTCCCCCCTGACTCCCTCTGTCCCCTCAGTCCCACCAGCGCCAGCACAACAAGGACAAGCCCTACAAGTGCCCCAACTGCTACCGGGCGTACACGGACTCGGCCTCGCTGCAGATCCACCTGTCTGCACACGCCATCAAGCACGCCAAGGCCTATTGCTGCAGCATGTGCGGCCGTGCCTACACCTCGGTGAGCACGGGGGATGCCCCAAAACCTGCCCGCAGCCCCCAGCCCCCCGCTCACCCCTGTGCCCCCCGCAGGAGACCTATCTGATGAAGCACATGTCCAAACACACGGTGGTGGAGCACCTGGTCAGCCAGCACTCGCCGCAGCGGACGGAGTCACCCGGCATTCCCGTACGGATCTCCCTCATCTAAGCAGGGAGGGGACAGGACCCCCCCAGCATGAGGAGGAGGAAGAGGAGAAGGAGGAAAAGGAGGAGGAGGAGGAGGAGGAAGAGGAGGAGGACGAGACCCCCAGCGCCGCGGGCCGCGCCCGGGCTGTGCTCCTGCCCGGCTCCCGCAGGTTTGGTGACATCCAAAGACGGTTTCAGAGCACTTTGAATCTCTGCGGTTTGGTTTTCTTCGGGGGGGCAGTGGGGTTGGGGGTGTCCCCCCTGCCAGGCCCCGCCCCCCATTTTTGGATACAAATATATATATATATATTTATTGGCCAAGAACTTGGTGCTGCTAAAGACCAGAAATTCACCCCAAAAACGAACCGTGGATGGAGCAAAAAGCAGCTGGGGGGGGGGGGCAAAGTCCCACCACCCCCCCCACACAGACTCTGGGCCCAAGCGCCTCCATTTGGGGTTGATTTTTAACCATTTTGGGGGTTTTTTGTGTTCTTTTGGGGTCCCTTTCGAGGGCGAAGCCGCGGGCAGAGCTGCATCCCCCCGGTGACGGCCCCCCCATTCCGCAGCCCCAGTTTTGGGGGGTTCGGGGGTCCCCCTGCTTTGCCTTGTGCCTGCCTGTACATACCCCCTGTATAGAGCCGGGGGGCACTCCCCCCAAACTCATCTATATTCTGTACTTTTTGGTTCATTTTGGATATTAACTGTGTTATTTTTTATACACTTTTTAAGCCTTAACTCAGCGTTTCTTTGGGGTTTTTTGTTGTTTTTTTTTTCAGGGTGTTTTATTTACCTTTTATTAATTTTTAACCCCTCTGTTATTTTTTACCCTCCCTATTATTTTTACCCCCTGTCCCCTTATTTTTTACCCCCCCATTATTTCTCCCCTCAATGTTGTACGATATCAATATTGTAACCTTTTTTGTCAGCATGTTAATACTGTGTAAATATGCCTCTTATACACTTAGCCCCCCCTTTTTTCTCCCCTTCCCCCAAATTTTGGGGCTTTTTTATTTTCCTCGCTGCCCAGCCAGGCCAGGCCTCCCTAGAGCTAGTTGGTACCTTATTAAAAAAGGGGAAAAAAAAAAAAAAAAGAAAAAAGTGGAGAAAATGGACAAAAAGTTGCCCCTGTCCCTGTTGTCGCCACCCCGTCCTGCATTGTGGTTCCTGGAGAAGCTGGGCGGGCCACGGCCTCACAGTGTGGAAAAGGAATGAAACCCCCCCAGCCCAGCCCCTTTCCAAAAAAAGAGAATAAAAGAGAACAAAAAAAAAGACCAGAACAGGAATTAATGAAACTGGGGGGTTGTGTTTGGGGGGGGAGGGGAAGGATGGGGGGAGGGGACTCCCCTGTGGGGACATCTGGGGACACAGGGGGGCCTGGTCCCTGTGGGGCTGCAGGAGGTGAGGATGAAGCTGTGGGTCATCCTCAGCAGGTGCATTGTCCCCAGAGTGTCCCCAGGGAGAGGGGTGGCACAGTGCTCCTGGTCTGGTGGGGGTGTGGGTGACCCACTGCTGGGGACACCAGCTCTGGGGACAGCCCACTCTGGCCACCACTGCTGGGGACATTTCGCTGTGGCCTGGGATGCCTCACCATGGCCACGAGTTCTGCAGGGACCTCAGTGTGGCCACCTGGGGACCCTCCAGGACCCTGTCACCAGCGCCAGGGACACCTCATCGTGGCCACAGCTCTGGGGTCACTACACCGTAGCCACCAGCCTCAGGGACATGTCACAGTGGGCACCAGCTCCAAGGATATGTCACCACCAGCTTTGGGGACACCTCACCGTTGTGCTTATCAGCTTTTGGAGCACACTGCTGCCAGCATCAGTGCTTGGGGACACTGCAGCATGGCTGTGTCACTACCACAGCCACCAGCTCTGGGCACACCTCAATCCAGATGCTCCATCCAGGGACCCCTCTCCAGGCCCATCAGCTCCAGGGATGTGTCACCGCCCCGGGACCATCTCCAGGAATGTGTCACCACCTCCCCTCCTGTGCCCCTCCCCACCTCACCGACTTCAGCACCCTGTGTCCCCCTAAGCACTGTGACTTGGGGGTCACCTGGAGGTGCCACTGCCACCACAGGCTCCTGGGAGGGGAACATCACCCCCAGCTCCCAACCTGGGGGGCAGCAGGGATCCCCAGGTCACACAACCCCAGCCCTTCCCCACTGCCCGCAGGAAGTCCCACCACCCATGGTGGCACTTGGGGACATCCCTGAGCTGCTGCCTTAGTTTACATGAGAAGAAATGTGGATGTGGGAAGTGAAGAAAACTGGGAGGGTCCCAAGTTTGTTTTTTTTTCAGTGTTTATTAAAAACAAAAACAAAAAACAGGAAAAGGGGGGGTGGGACCATGTGTTTTTTTCAATTTTTTTTTTTCCTTTTCTTTTCTTAAAAAGATCGTGCTGGCTGAGGGGGGAGTGGGGGGGTCCTTACCTGCCTGGGGGGGACCCCCACCACTGTCCTCTGCTAAGGTGCCCCCAAAAACAGCCCAGTGTGTGGGGGTGTGTGTGAATGGGGGTGACGCCTCCTCCGCGCCCCCCACCTCTCCCTGACCCCCTGGGGGGGCAGTCCAAGCCTCCCTGGGGCCCCAATCCCAGCTGGGGGAGGGAGCACACGTTAAGGCAACCGTCCTGCTTGGCTCTGCTGACCTGGGGGGGACACGGGGGAACACGTGGGGACCCCCCTCCCTGCTGGAGAAGGGGAGGTGACCCCCCAAAACTGGGGGGGGATCTAGAGCTAGGGGCTATTTACACCCCCCGGGGGGGCAGGGGGGGCGGGGTGTGCTCACAAGTGTCTCCCCCCCTCGCCCCCTCCCCGGGGCCGCGTGGGGGGTCAGGGGTCCTGCGGGGCTCCCGGGAGGGTCAGGGGTCCCACGGGGGGGAGTGGGGTCCCGTGGCCCCCCCTCAGGAGTCCTTGAGCATGTTGATGCGGGCATAGATCTTGAGCGCAGGGCCCAGCTTGATGTTCATGGTGCTCATGAGATGATCCTCCTTGAGCAGCAGCAGCGCCTGCCCATCGATCTCCTGAGCCCGGAACTCCTCCGCGATCTCCTGGCAGCCTGTGGGGAGGGGCAGCATCAGCAAACCCTCCCAGAGCCCCCAAAAATACACTTAGGGGCTTCTCTGTGCTTAAATCCCCCGAAAAATCTATTTAGGGAATTATCATATGTAAATCTCCTCCTCCTCCAATTATCCTGTAGGTTTATTTGTAAGTCCCCCTGCCCCCGCCCCAAATATTAATGGATTTGTGAGTAGAATTTATCCCCCCCAAAATATTTATGGGGTTATCTGTGAGTAAATTATCCCCCAAAAATATATTTATGGGATTATCTATGTATAAATCCTACCCAAAAATACATCTATGGCGTTCTCCGTGAATAAATCTCTCCCCAAAATCACAATTTTGGGGTTAACCTTGAGTAGATCCCTCCTCGACCACATCCTGAGGGACATAAGTCTTCCCAAAACCACAGTGCTGGGTATCTATGGGTAGATCCCTGTCCATCCCAGGACATTCCTCACCCGGCAGCGAGCGGATGAACTCGTAGACATCCTCCACGTTCCACTTGCTGGGCTCGCTGGGCAGGAAGCGGTGGCCGAGGCCGGGCAGGTCGCGGCCGTGCACGTCCGGCAGCTCCATGTCCCGCAGCTCCAGCTCCCGCTCCCCCTGCCGGCGCCGGGACGTGGAGGAGCTGGCGGAGATGGGCGACAGCGGCTCCTCGTAGCTGGAGTTGTCAGAGCAGCGGCTGGAATCCTCCTGGCTGTGGTTGAGCTGCAACGACGCCGTCACCGACCCCGCTGGGACGGATCCCGGGGGCTGCGGGGGCAGTGCTGGCCTCAGCACCTGCCCCACGTCCCCAAAATTCAGGGACAAACCCCAGCCTCACGTGCACCCCGTGTTCCCAGAACCCAGGGACAACCCCCAGGCTCGGCACCCACCCCACGTCCCCCCAGCTGAGGCCAAAGCCCGGCCTCAGTGCCCACCCCACGTCCTCATAACTGGTGGTAAATCCTGCACTCAGCACCCCCCCGTGCCCCAAAAGTCAGGGACAAACCCAAGGCTTGGAGCCCACCCCACATTCCCCAAACTGGGAACAAATTCCAGCCCCAAGGCCAAACCCAGGGGACAAACCCTGGCCTCAGTCCTCACCCCATGTCCCCCTCACCTGTTTCTTGCTGTCCTTGCTCAGGGGGGGCAGGGTCCCTTTGCAGCTGCGGCGCCGCCCGTGGGGGGGCCCTCCCGGCTTCTGGAGTTTGCTGCGATCTGGGTGGAACAGCCCCACCCTCTTCGTGCAGCCCACATTGTACCTGCACGGAGCCAGGGTCAGGAAGGGGTCCCCACTCCACCAGGGGAACTTTGGGGATACCTCGACCCCGCTGAAGAAGAGGGGAAGGGTGGATTTTGGGGTTACCCCCACCAGAGCAAGTAGATTTTGGGGTTACCTTTCCACCTCTGGGTGGATTTTTTGGGGTTACCCCTCCCATGCTGAATGGGTTTTCACGTTACCTTTTCCCTGGCAGGTGGATTTCTGGGGCTACCTCTGCTCTTGTCAAGTGGATTTTGGGGTACCTCCACTCCACTGAAGAGGGTCCAGATTGGTTTTGGGGTTATGTCTGCTCTGTCAGGGGGATTTGGGGCTGCCTCTACCCTGCTTGGGTAGATTTTGGGGGCTACCTGTATCCGGCTGAGGACGGGGCTGGGTGGATTTTGGGGTTACCTCTACCCCACCAAGGAGGGGTTGGGTGGATTCTGGGATTACCTCTACCCCACCAAGGAGGGGATGGTGGGTTTTGGGGTTACCTCTACCCCACCAAGGAGGGGATGGTGGGTTTTGGGGTTACCTCTACCCCACCAAGGAAGGGATGGTGGGTTTTGGGGTTACCTCTTGGCACAGGCCATGGAGCAGAAGCGCTTGGAGCGCTTGAACTTGTAGGCGAAGTCAACGCGGCCGCAGAGCTCACACTTCAACTTGGGGGGGTTCCCCTCCTCTTTGGATTCTGGGGGGCGTGGAGGGACACCCAGAGAGAGAAACCAGCCAGCTCAGCCGGGGCGCTCCGGGGGAAATCCCGGGGGCTCCCAGGGGCCGGGCGGGCCGGGGGCCCGGGCGCTACCTTGCAGGTACGGCTCCTCCATGTCCGAGTCGGTGGTGGTGGTGTTGTCCTGCGCTGGGAGCTTGTCCGGCAGCAGCTCCTGCGCATACTGCTTGTGCAGGGCCCCCACCAGCAGCGAGGAGCGGCCCACCTGTGCAACAACCTGGCTGCACCTGTGCCCCGGGGAGTCCTCCCTGTGGGCACGGGGCCGGCAGGGCCCATCCCACCCCCCGGGCAGGATGAGGGTGAGGAGAGGGGGATGCGTCACCAGGTACAGCCCTGCGCCTCCTGGGTGACGTGACAAGGGGGGGATTGGGGTCCAGCTATTCCCTGAGTGACCCATTCCCAACCCCTCAAACACGGGAGCAGGGATAAGCAGAGGAATGTTACCAGGAATGACTCTACCCCTTCCTGGATGCTGAAGTGCTCAATAACAAGGGCGACGGTTTGGGGGTTCATAATTGGCAAAGTGACCCGCTCTCAACCCCCAAATCCCAACCCCCCAAATCCCAATCCCTCAGCTCCAGGAAGGACAGCAGGTATGTTACCAGGATCAGTTCTGTCTCTTCCCAGATGATGGAAATGCTCAATAATGTGGGCAAGGATTTGGGGGCTCGTGACTGTCTGGGCATCCCATTCCCAATCCCCCAAATGCAGAAGCCCTCTTCCCGATTTCCCGCATCCAGGAACAAGGACAGGTAGAGGGAGATACATTACTGGGAACGGCTCAGCCCCTTCCTGCACAATAAGGAACTCAAACATGTGAAGATTTGGGGATCCACAATGGTGTGGATGCCCCATTCCCAAGCCCCCAAACCCAGAAGCAGGGAGAGGGGAATGCATTCCCAGGAATGGTTCTGCCCCTTCCTGGACAATGAACTGCAGAACAACGTGTGTAACATCTGGGGGGTCACAATTGTCTGGGTGCCTCATTGCCAACCCACAAAATGCAGAAGCTGCCCTCCCACACACAAAATCCAGGGATAAGGATATGGATTGGTGGATACGTTACCAGGAACAGCTCAGTCCCTTCCTGAATGATGAAACACTCAGTAATGTGGGAGAAGATTTGGGGGTTCACAAAGGCCTGGATGCCCATTCCTAACATCCCTCTGTCCCAGAAACAGGGGTAGGGAGAGGGGGATACCACACTAGGAGCATTTTTGTCCTTTTCTCAGTTGTGAAGCTCTCAGCACACGGGTGGAAGATTTTGGGGGGGGGGGGGTATAGTAATGATTGCTTGGATGCCCCACTCCCAAAACCCCCAAATTCAGGGATAAGGATGCAGAGAAGGATACACATTACTGGGAATATTTTGCCCCTTCCTGGATGACGTCCTCGATGAAATGGGTGAGGATTTGGGCCTTACGATGGTGGGTGCTCCACTCCCAACCTCCCAAATGCAGCAACAAGGGTAGGGACACTGGGATACGCTACCGGGAAGGGCTGGGCCCCTTCCCGGATGACAAAACACCGAATAACGTGCAAGGATGCGGAGCCCCGCTGGCGGGATGAACCCACTCGGCACCGGAGCAGCTCGGCCCTTTCCCGGATGACGAAGCAGGGGCGACTCGGGGGTTCACGCCCCACACCCCGGAGCCTCCCCACCGCCCCAGCCCGGCTCCGGGAGAGCGGGATACGTTACCGGGAAGGGCTCGGCGCCCTCCTGGATGACGAAGCCCTCGATGACGTGCGTGAGGATCTGGGGTTTCACGATGGCCTGGGGCGGTTTGTTCTCACCATTGTGGGGGGCGGCGCCGGCGACGGTGGCGGCAGCGCTGCCGGAGCCCGAGGTCATCCCGGGAATGCGGGGCTGCGCATGGAGGCGCTCGGGGGGCTCTGGGGACAGCGGGGGACACGCGGTGAGGGGCGGGCGCTGACGACGCGCTGACGCGGGGCCGCGATTTCCATACAGCTGGAACGGGAGCAGCTGCTGCCGCTCCCAGCGCCGCCCAGACAGCCCCCGGGGGGTGCGAGAGCGGCCAGAGGGGCCCCAAAACAACCGGAGCGCTCCGGACACAGCCCGAGAGCGCGGCGGGAGCAGGACAGCCCCGGGGCGGCGCGGGAGGCACCGGCGGGGCCGCGGCTGCCCCGGCACGGAGCCATCGCCGCCGGAAAGCCCCGATCGCCCCCAGAAAGGCCCTAACAGGGCCGGGGCAAGCCCGGAAAGGCCCGCTCTCCCCCAGCAAAGCCCGGCTCGGCCCCAGGAAGGCCCGGGCTGTCCCGCTAAGGCCGCAGTGCATCCCCGCACGGCCGCGGCAGGGCCCGAGGTGCGCCCGCGGGATCCCGGTAACCCCGGCACGGCCCACGGCCCCGGCCCAGCCCGCCCGGCTCCTCTCCCCTCCGGGCCGCCTCGGGCCGCGCAGGCCCCGGCAACCCCATCACCTTTGTCCGGCGGCGGCGGCTACCGCTGCCCCCGCCCCTCCTTCGCCCGGGCCGCGGGGCCGGACCGGGGCCGGGGGCGGATGCGGAAGTGAGGTCAGAGCCGCCGCCACCGCCGCCCCGGGCCGGGCCTGGCCGCCGCGGTCGGCGCTCACTCACCGGGCGCTCAGGGGGTCGGGGGGGCCATGGCGGGGGGCNNCCCCGCCCCCCGCGGCCCCGCCATCGGGGGCGGGGCCTTGCTCCACAAGGGGCGTGACTGCACGGACGTGATCACGCCCCCACCCCGGTCGCACCCCCACGCAGCCGGGGCGGAGCCTCCAGATGTGGCCACGCCTCCGTGCCTACAGAAAGGGGCGTGGCCACTGTCCCGCCCCTCGGGGGCCGGCCGTGTGTGAGGCGAGGCGCCCGCGCCCCCCCTAGCGGCAGCGGCGGGCGCCGCACGCAACCCGGTGCCAACGGCGGGGCGGAGGGAGCTCCCCGCCGCTCCGCCCGGCCCCACGACCCCCGCTGCACCAGGGCTCGGGGCTGCAGCACCCCCTCAGTGCGTGCCTCTGGGAGCGGGGCGGGCGCTTACCGTGCGTGAGGGGCCGCTCGCCCTCGGGGGTGTCGGGGCCCGGGGGGGCGGCGGGCGGCGAGAGGGCGGGGACGGCTGTGGTGGCAGGGACACGCGTGGGGCAGGGTCAGGTGTGCACACACATGGGCGGGGGTCAGGGCAGGTGGCACAGGGACATGCACCTGCACGAGTGGAGTGTGCACACCTGTGCAGGGGTCACACACCAGCATGTGCCTAGAGCGGGCATGCACATGCACACACGTGTGTCACATCGGGCACGCGTGTCCAGACACACCTGATCTGGCACGCCCATTTGCACACGTGTGCAAGGAGCCTGTACACACCCCCACAAACACACACGTGCATGGGGCTGGCATGAGTGTCACACACATGCACAGGCCAGACACACGTGCATCAAGCACAGGTGCACACGCTCGTGGGCAGGCAAGCACGGCTGCACTCATGTGCATGGACCTGGAGTGAGTACGCACACACATGCAGGGAGCAGACACATGCACACATGCATGTGCATGCATCTGGCAAAGCTGTGCACACACACTGTATGGGTCCAGGACACACATGCACGGTCAGACATACAAGATCAAACACAGGTGCACACTCACACACACGGATCAGCCACATGCTCCCAGTGTCACAGGACCAGGTACACACAGTCACGTAAGTGCCACGGATGGGGCAAGCCTGCACAGGTGTGCATGGAGCAGGTACACACACGCAGTGTGGCCCGAGCGTGCACACCTGCAGACTGACGTGACAGCTGGGCCCCCATGCACAATTCAGGAACACACATGCACACACAGGTGTGCAGGGATTGTGCACTTGCACGCCCACGCGCGTGTGCACACAGCTGACTCCCCAACATCCCCCACTCCCACTCCAGTGTCCCCACTCCTCCTTCCCTCCCCTGAGCTCCCCCCACCAAGGGGCTTGGGGCCCCCGACCGTGAGGGTTTGGGGGGAGTTTGGTGGGAGGTCTGGGAAGGCTTTGGGGGATATTTGGGGGCCCCTCATGATGAAGGTTTGGGGAGAGGTCTGGGGGCCCCTCACCGTGGGGCCGGCGGGCTGCAGCTGCAGGATGACAGCCGAGGCGTGCTGGAACTTGCGGGGGGCAGCGTGGCAGCCAGGGTGCCCGTTGGGGGGGCCACCCTCGCCCCCCGCTCCCTGGGGCAGCCCTGTTTTGGGCTGGGGGCCAGGGCTGGGGCTGGCAGGGGGCAGGGGCTGGAGCTGGGGGGTTGTGGGGGGGCCCGAGGGAGGCTGCCCACGGGGGCCCAGCTGCTGCTGCTGCTGCTGGATGACGAACTGCTGCTGCGGCTGCGGCGGCTGCGGCTGCATCGGCTTCGGCGGCTGCTGCAGGAACTGGGGGGGCTGCAGCGGGGCATAGGCTGTGGGGACAGCAACGGGGACAGAGATCCCCCCTCATCACCAGCACCTCAGCCCCACGGGATCCACCCCCAGCATCCCCCTCCAGGAGGCTGCTGCTCACTCTGCACATGTTCCCTCTGGTGCCCTCGGACAATCAGCTCTGATGTGGGAAGCTGCACTCGGGCTATCCCGGGGGGGGGGAGTCCCCAGTATTGGGAGCCATGCCAGTGCAGCACCCCAGGCTCCAGCACTCCACGAAGTCTCCTGGCTCACACCCTCACTGCCCCAGCCCCCTTCACCCCACAGGACCCTGGGATCCTATGGGTGCTGAGACCCTCCCGAGCAGGGCCCCTGCCAGTGAGGGGATGGACCCAGACGGTCCCAAACACAGGCAGGTGACACCGTTCAGGACACACCAGTGTGGGCCATCACTAGGGTTCAGTGACTCCCCCAGCACCCAGGGGTGTCCCCCGCCCCGGAGCAGCCCCTTACCTGGGGTGACGAGCGGGTGGGTGGCAGCGGGGGCGGTGGTGCGGGCCAGGGCATGGGCGCGGCCCTCGTGCCCCTCGGCCTTTTTGAGGTGCTCGGCGGGGGGGTCGGGCGGGGGCCCCCGGGGGGGGCCAGCCCGGGGAGGGGCACCCCCGGGGGGCTTCATGGCCAGGGCAGGGAGGTGGGGGCCGGCGGGGCGCAGGGCCAGGCTGTGCACCTGCAACGGCAGCGGGTCAGGGGTGCCAGGGCAGATTTTGGGGGGCTGGCAGGGGAGGGGAGACTCACCTGAGGGGTGGTGGGTGGTGGGGCAGGTGGCGGGGCCGGTGGAGGGGCCGGCGCGGGGCTCTCGGGCCGGACAGCGCTGACGGGGCCCGTGGGTGTGAAGATGAGCTGGGGACAGGGAGAGTGGGTGCACAGCTCACCATGTCAGGGGTGGCACACCCTGTGTGTCCCTCCTCTGTGTCCCTACAGGGTGGCACTGAGGTATCTCTCTATGTAGGGTAGGGACAGGCACTCCCAGTGTGGGGGAGGGCACCCTATAGGGTCCCAACACCCCCCAAAGGCAAAGAGCACCTGCTTGGGTACCCCCAATGGGGCTCTGGGTGCCTTGTGGGGTCTGGGCATCACCAGTGGGAAGGGGTTCACCCTATACAGGGGCTGGGTTCCCTCAGCTGAGTGAAAGCACCTTATGAAGTCTACACACCTCACAGCAGGGTGACAGGCACCCTGTGGGATCCTCAGACCCCCAGGAAGGTGGGGGGCACCCCACAGGCCCTGGGCACCCTATGGATTCCCCATGGGTCCCAGGCATGCCGAGCAGAACAATGAGCACCCTACAATATCATAGCATGGCCACGGGCACTCTGTGGGTCCCAGTCATCCCACAACAGGGTGATGGGCACCCCAGTGGTGCTGGGCACTCCATGAGGATGCTGAGGCATTCCATGTCCCAGCCCCACCCTTACCATCTGTGCCCGCAGGTACATCTGGGCCTGGCTGGCGGTGAGGGCGGGTGAGGCAGTGTTGCCCAGCAGCACGGCCTGCTGAGCGATGCCCGACGCCCCGGGCCCCACGCTCTGCGCCCGGTTCAGCAGCTGTGCCGCCGCCGGCGACGTCGCCAGGTTGATCTGGAATGGGGCACCAGGAGAAGGTCGGGGTGCTGGCACAGGTGGGCACGGGCGGGGTGGGTGGGTGTCGAGCGGCTGAGGGACTCACCGTGGGCTGCTGTGCCGGGGCCGGCTGGGTGCCATTGCCCCCCGAGGAGCTGCCTTGCCGGTTCGCCGCCAGGCTTGCCTTGGGGAAGAGCCGAAGGTGAGGGGTGTGCCAGCCCCGAGCGACCCCCCGTGCCCGCGGGGTGCCCATACCTGCTGCACAGCGGCCAGGCTCTGGAGCTGGGCGCTGGTGAGGTGCTGCTGCTGGAGCGCGGCCGTCTGCAGCATGAGGTGCTGCTGCTGAGCCGCGTACATCTGCTGCAGGTACTGCGCCGCCGTGTTGGGCTGCCGGTGCAGCGCCTGCTGGATCACCTTTGGGGAGGAAATGTGGCCCCGGGCTGTGCCACGACCCCCCCCGGTGGCCCCCAACCCTCGGGTGCCCCCCAGCCCCGTACCTGCACGGTCTGGCGGTCGGGGATGCCGCTGTAGACGGAGATCTGGGGCCCGGGCGGGCGCGTGGCCGTGGTGCTGGCGGGTGCTGGGGCCGTGCCACCGGCGCTGCTGGCGGGAGCTGGAGCTGGGAGCTGCTCATTGTCCATGGCGGGGCCGGGGCGGGATGGTGGAAGGGGGTCACACTAGAGCTGGGGAGCAGCAACAGAGTGAGGGGGTATCCATCATGTCCGGATGGGAAACGGGGGGCTGGAGGAAGGTGGGATAGAGAAGAATGATGGGAGACCCTGTGGCTCACCCTCCTCCACTAAAGTGGGGGTCAGTGCCCCGGGGAAAATGGGGAAAGGGAGTATGGACAGCAGGATGGACAGAACAGAGGGAAGGAAAGGACAGGAGGAAGGATGGACAGAGGGAAGGCTGGAAGGCAGAGAGATGGAGGTGAGGAGGTAGGGATGGATAGCAGGATGGACTGGAGGAAGAGAGGGCTGAAGGGATAGACAGACAAAAGGAAATGAGGAACTGAGGGAAGTAGGAAAGGGACGGATGGAGAGAAGGAAATGAGGGAAGGAGAGGAAGGAAAGAGAGAAACCAAGGAAGTTGTGGAACTAGGAAAGGGTAGTCGTAAGGACAGGTGAAAGCACGAAGGGGATGGAAGGACAGAGAGAATGACAAACAGGAGAAGGAAAGGGATGGACAGAAGGATGGATGGAAAGGGAGGGACAAATGAAAGGATGGATGGGCAGAAAGGAAAATGGATGGGAGGAGGGAGGGAAAAAAGGATGGACATAAGGACAGATGGAAGTAAGTAAGGAAGAAGAGACAAGAAGGACAGGAAAGACGGAAGGAGGGGTCAAGGATGGAAGGAAGGATGGACAAGAGGACAAACAACAAATGACAGACAGAAGGAATGATGGCTCTAAGAATGGAAGGAAGGAATGATGGACAGAATGAGGAAAGGATCCAGGGATAGAAGGAAATGCAGAAAAAAAGCAGGAAAGTGAGGGACCAAGGGATGGAGGGAAGAACAGACCAGACAGGAGGGAGAAAGTATGGACAGATGAAGAGACACAAAAGGGAGGAAGGGATGGAAGAAAGGCTGGATGGACACAGGAGAGGGATGCAGGGATGCAAGGAAGAACAGACAGAGGAAATGGATGAGAGGAAAGGCAGGTGGAAGGAAGAGGGATGAATGGATGGCAGGAGGGGGACGGACAGCATGACAGAAGGGCAGGAGGAAGATGGGGACAGTGCTGTGGGGGGTTTGTGGGTGACACCTCTGTCACCACTGCTACTGTGGTGGTCATGAGACTCCATGGTCACCCACAGCCACCCATGGCCACCGCGCTCCACCCGTGTCACCCGTTTGAGCCCCTGCAGTGCCACCACAGCGGGGCCAGGGACAAGAGTGTGGGACACTGAAGACTGTGGACAGCAGCCACTTGGGTGGCCTTGGTGACCATGCCACAGCACGGCCCCACCAGGCCATCCCAGCCCGGCCCATGAGGGACGTGGCAGCAGCGATGTCCTGGCCTCGTGTAGCCCATGGGGCTTTGTCCCCTGAGATGCCACTGTCGCAAATCACAGGATGGGACATCCCTGTGTTCGTGGGTGTGGCAGTACATGTGGCCTGTGACACTTCCCACGCTCGGGTCTGCGTCCATGGCAGTGTCACCATCAGCTGCAGAGGCCTTAGGCAGCACTTTTCCCCCTGAACAGCCACAGACCTGCTTTTTCAGCTCTGCTGGCATCGAGGTGACATGGGGTCACCGCAGTGACTGACAGAGGGATCACACCAGGCCCCTCTGGAGTCAATCCTCCAGGGGTGGAATGAGCCCAGGAAACCCCCCACAGCTCCCACCCACTGTGGGCCCAAGCCTCCTGTCCTCACCCACACCAAACCCCACCAGGGAATTTGGGGTGTCAGATGGGGATACCTCACTTTTGACCCAGAGGTCAAACCCCAAACCATTACACCCACCCAAAATAACAAAGGAGGGAAGATTTTGAGTACTGCTGGGACCCACTGGGGTGGGGGAACATGGGGGGGTCCCACAGCCAGGACAGGAAGAGCTGGGGAGCTGGAATTCCCTGAGCTAAGCCCAAAATGGGGGTGGGAAACAACGTGGGGGGTAGGGAAATTTTGGAGGAGTGGTATGGAATAGGGATACAGACAGGTTGTGGGGAAAATATGGGATATAGAAGGGAAAGATGGGAGTAAGCAGTAGTATGGAGCAATATGGGGGGAATAATATGGGGGTTCAGAATAAAGGGGGATGCAAGGTGCTGGTGAAGGGTGGGATATGGTGGGAAGATGGGACAGAAAAGAGGGGGGTCAGATAAAAGAGTAGGGATTGGAAAATTATGATGGGGTGGGAATAATAATAAGAGGAATCAAAAGCAGAGGAGGGGTGGAAGATAATGGGAAAGAGCAGAAAGCACTAATGATGGGGTTGGATAGAAGTGAGGGAGGTCAGATATTACACTGGAGGGTCAGATACAATATAGGGGCTCAGAGGTAACAGCAAGCACTGGAATATGATTGGGGGTAAGTAAAAATAATAATAAAGGGGTGCAGGATAGGGAGCAGCAGGATATGACACAGGGAATGATAAGTGGGTGCAAAATAAGAGGGGGGATGCAAGATCCTGGTGAGGGGTGGAAAACACTAGTGGGGGTGGGACAGAAAAGAAAAGAGGGGGTCAGATTTAATAAAGGGGGAGTCAGATAAAACAGCAGGGACTGGAGCATGATGGTGGCGGGTGGGAATAATACTAACGGTGCAAAATCAGAAAATGGGGTGGAAGATGGGGAGTGGGACATGATGGCAAGGAGTAGGATAGAAGACAAGGGCGTCAGATATAGTACAGGGAGGCAGAGATAACACGGGGACACTGGAATATGATGGTGGGCGCTGGGCAGTAATAATAGTGATAATAATAATAAGGGAGTCCAGAACCAGAGGAGGGGGCGCAGGAGAAAGGGAAGGAGGGGAGACGCGGATGGGGGTAGGAAATGGGGGCTCCACGGGCGGCGGGGAGCGGCGGGGGCCACGGCCCCGGGTGGGGAAACTGAGCGCGCGCCCCGCCCACCGCGCCGCGCGCCCGCTGCTCGCGCTCGCCATGGCAACCCCGGGGTGGGGGGGGGCGGTGAGCGGGGTCGCCATGGCAACGGAGCGAGGAGGGGGCGCGGATGCGGCCGAGGGGAGCGGGCCGGACCGGGACCGGAGGGGCGAGGAAGCGGGGCCGGCGGAGATCCGCTCGTCGGTGATTCCAGGAGCCATCCCGGGGCTGCCCAGAGCCAGGCCCGGCGGGACGCTGCGGCCTGGGGATGGTGGCGGCGGTCCCTGCCGTTACCGGGGGTCGCCCGGGGTCACCCCGAGGATGCTGAGAACCGGTTCGGGCAAGAAGACGCAGCGTGAAGTTGGTGGCAGCGGTCGCCGCTGGTGCATGGTGTCGCTGGAGTCACCCCGGCGCTGCCCAGGGCGGGATGCCGCAGCCCGGGATGGTGGCACCGGTCCGTGCCGCCGCCGGGGGTCAGCCGGGGTCACCCTGGGGATGCCGAGCGTCGATACCGAGGGGAGGCGGCGATACAGGCGTGGTGGCACCTGTCCCTGCTGCCACGCCGAGTCACCCCGGGGCACGCTGAGGGCCGGTACTGGCGAGATGCCGCGGCGTGGGCATGGTGGCACCGGTGCCCGGTGTTCCCAGGAGTCACCCCGAGAGTGCGGGCACCGGGAAGGGCGGGATGCCGCAGCGCGGGGATGGTGACCTGGGTCCCGCTGCTGCTCGGGGTCGCCTCGGGGCTGCCCCAGCACCGGCACCGGTGGGATGCTGCGCTGGGGGGATGGTGGCACCGGGCCCCGCCGCCACCGGCGGTCACCCGGGATGCTGCGGGCACACACCGGGCGGGTGGCCTGGCGGGGGTGGTGGCACCGTCCCCGGCGGTTCCCCAGGTCGGTCCGGCGGAGGTGCGGGTGGGTAGCGCCGCCCCCGGGTCTGTCGGGGCTCTCCCGGGGACATTCCCGGAGGTGCCCGGGCTCGTTGCCGACGGCGTGCTGCAGCGGGGAGGGCTGGCACCGATCCCCGGTGTTCCCTGCGGTCACCCGGGGTCACCGGGAGCGCCGGTAGCGGCCGGATGCTGCGTACCGGGGTGACGGCCCCGGTGCTTCCCGTGTCACTCCGGGCGTGCTCGGGGTCGGGACCGCTGCCATGCGGGGGCGGGGGGACGGTGGCACCGCTCCCGGTGCTCTCGGGGGTCACGATGGGGCTCGTGGCTCACTCGTGGCCACCAAACCCTTCCGACCCGGGGTCCGTGTCCCCGAGGACACTCGGGGTGTCCCCGGCCGTGCGAGGACAGGATCTGCTCCCGGCACTGGGGACACTGGGGGGGCTCTGGGGGATGCTGGGGACCCTGGGAGGGGGGCATGGGGGGACACGGAGCAGTCGGGGGGACTCTAGGACCTATTAGGGGGCTGTGAGGGGGCACTGGGGCAGACTGGGGGGCTGTGAGGGCTAAGGAGAGGAATTGGGGGGCCATAGGGGGCTGTGTGGGGGACCCCGGGGAAGGCTACTGGGAGCACTGGGAGAGATGAGGGGGGCAGTCAGGGGCTGTGCTGGTGGGCCATGGGAGCACTGGGGGGCTATGAGGGTACTGGGTGGGCTATTGGGGGATATGGGGGTACTGGAGGGAGCTGTGGGGGCACCGAGTGGAGTTATGGGGCTCTGGGGGCACCTCCCGACCCCCCGGGGCTGCGCGGCCGCTGCCGCGGGGAGGCGCCGGGGCTCGGGCAGGGCCGAGCCCGGATCCCGCCGATCCCGCTTCCCTCTTTCCCCCTGCTCTCCCTGCTTCCCCCCGGATTTCCTGCCAGGTTTCTCTCCCTTCCCCACTTTTCCCCATTCACCCTTGTTCCCCCTCTGTTTCACCCTGCTTTTTCTCTGTCTCCCCTGTTTCTCCCTGTTGCCCCCAGCTTCTTCTCTTTTCCCTGCCTTTCCCCCGTTTTTCCTGTTTTCTCTCGTTTTTCCTTCCTATCTTCCCCTTTTCCTCCTTTCTCTTGTTTTTCCTCTGTTTCTCCTGCTTTTTTTCTCCCTTCCACCCCTTTTCCTAATTTCTTATTTTTTCTCTTTTCCTGCTTTACCCTTCTTCCTTCCCTTTATCCCCTTCCCCCTTTTTTAATTTCCCCCCACTTTTCCCCTGTTTTCCCCCTCTT